GTCCTCTCATTTTATTGTTACACCACTGGTACGTGAACACGCAGTCAAATCGGCGACAATTCCAGTCTTCCTTCACAACGCACAACACTGCATTTGCAATGTTAGTAAAACGCGGAAAAAAAAACACGTTGATTGTTCGTTGCTACTCGGCATCGGGAAGCAACCTAACGCAGCGTAGAAGACACGCAGGCACCCGGCAGAAAAAAACTGCTTGTCTTGAATGCGGTTTCCGTAATGTCGTCAACGTCGTCACATCGTCCCGCAATCTGGAGACAGCCAACTTGGTCCAGTGTACCTAGGGCTGCGGGCACAGCTCCGGAACTTCGCTGTTTCTAACGGCTTCGTTTGCTCGTTCGACAAAGTTAGGGCTAAAAACGTCAATGCAACCGAGATGTTTTGCGAGTTGAGACTGGAGGGCAGAATTACAGGCGACCTTCGCTGCCGTTGAAACTTAATCAGTTCAACGAGGTTTATTAAACAACGCGCGCGACGTGCTCGAAAAGCGAAACTGAAAGAAGATGAGGCGGGAGGGCGGAACTTTCTTCCCGTCTGTCTGGAGAAGGAGAAAAACGCCTCGTTCTTCCTTTTTCCTCGTGCCCGCTTGAGGGTGCTTCAGTGGAAGGGAGGAAAACACGCTCTTGCTACCTTTTTTCCCCTTTCTTTTTACTTGTAGTGTACCGTTCACTCTAAAAAAAGGCTGTAAAAGGGTGTATTGTTACACCCTTTGTCTATATAATACACCCCCAAAACTTCAATTCGGCGTACAGCACCCTATAGTCCAACAGACGGCCCAAAGCTTTTACAAAGGGCTTGATAGCCGTGTGGTACAACTTATTAAAATAGCTAACGTGCGTGTTACTGACTACACAAAAAAAATAATAATGGGGGCTTCCTTGGCCCTACTGCAAAAACTCAGTGTTTTCTTTATGTGGTCTTTGATACGTACTTTAGCTATTTAAAAAGTTATCTCGCATTACTATTAAGCCCCTCGGAAAATTTGGGGCCGTCTGTTCGACTATAGGGTGTTGTACGTTGAAATGGAGTTTTGAGGTGTATTATAAGGGACAAAAGGGTGTAAGGTGATACGCTTTTTTCTAGAGCGTTAACGACACCAACGGCACACTGCATTGGTAACCTCGTCGTCGGACGCAAACAATGTACTCTTCAGATGTTTCTCCATCTTGGAGAACAGCCAAACCTCTGATGGCGTGAGGTCCGGGCTGTAAGCTGAATGAGGCAAAACATCTTGGAACTGCAGCTCTTCCAGCCGCCCTCAATCATCTACAATGGCACGCGGACAGAAGTGCACCAATAGCGGAAGTGCATCGCCGCCGGTGGGTACTATATTGAGGAAGTTATGTTCTCCTGGGAAAAATGAGATTCCAAACTTTCATTTGAATGCAACATCTTTCAACTCCATCATTGAATAAAAACGCTGCAGCCTAGGGGGCAAACCTTATTGATCACTCCCCCCCCTCCCCCCGTATTACTTTCGCTAAATTGATGCGATTGTTTCACAGCAAATCCCAACGCGGCACAACACGTACCACCTGAAATTGAACAAATTGCCACTCTTTACGCCATATATATATATAAAAAAAATATGCCGTCTTGTTGCGCAGCAACTTCATCATATTGCCATATAGGGCAAAACATAGACGCAACGCTATAAAAGAAAACAGCCGCAGGGCATCGAAATCTTTCAACTTTCTCGCGACGTGTCGTTCGGAATTTTCGAAAGTCGCCAACAACACAATAGATGCGACGCTTTTAGAATTCCAATCCTACCCGCGGCCGGCCAACCGCGATTTACGTTTGTATATAAAAAAGCAAAATATATAAAAAAATAACAAATAAAACGCTCGCTAAAAAAATGAAGAAATAGAGAAGAGAGCAAGGACAGGGGTACTAAAATACCATCAGAGAAACAGAGGCATTTTTCGCAAGACTGACGCGCGATTTTGCCATTGGAATGCTATTGCTGTCAGGCAGAGTCAGGCGGTCCGGTAGGCAGCGAACAACGAAGACAATAACTATGCAAAAAGAAGAAAAACAAAATGGTAGGAAAACTGTTAACATGTTGTTGTTGCTGTTGTTGTTGTGTGTTTTTATTTTTTTTTATGCGCCTATGGTGACGCACGGAGTCACTCGAGCTTCGAATTTTTGATGCCCTCTCCGATGGAAACCAGCTGAAAATTCGAACGCCAGGGAACAGGTCGCCGCGTCAACGGTTCGGGTTAAGGCCCAAATTTGAAAGGAAAAAAAAAAATTAAACTGCACTGTAGATTGTTTAAATATCCCTCTTAGTGAATGTCAGTTTTATATCTTTTTTTTTTATTAAGAAACGTCGGAAATCACGTTGGAAAACAAAAGTGGCTGTTATTTTTTTTACAATACGTATAACGTATTTCAATATGACCTGCTAGGCAATCATTGTATGAGGAAAAATGCAAAAAGTTTTTTTAATAAAAAGAATGCAGCATACAATGAAACACTTACACATTCCGCGTATCGGAGTATAAATAAGAAACAATAATGGGCTCGCTGTTATTGACGGCATTCGCAGATACTCAAAACGTCATCAAGATGATGATCATGAGGAAGCAAAAACGCTCGTCCCGCCCGTCTTTGCGCGAAGAATGTAATACAAAGTATCAATAGCAGCGCCCATACATATAAGAAACACAACCGCACACACCAAGCGCGGAAAAATCATAATTCGCATGACGGCCTATATCCTGTTGCAATTTCAATTTTTGTTCGGGACGATGAATTTCGTTCTGGTATAACAAGCTGTTGCGGAGGCTTGCACAATTAGTTCGTGGAACTGTTTGATGAGCGTATATAAGAAAATACGCCACCCGTGACGTCGGAGCCAATAAGGTGTCATTTTAGAGCAAATGGACCGAATGAACGGTAAAGTTGCGAGCGCGCACCATAGAGTCCGCATAGGTGGTTTCGTATTAAACCGAGTAACACACCGGACGAAAATTCCACAGCGTTTTGGAACCAATAAGGGTGTACTAAGTAGATAGCATTTCTGCTGGCTGCGTAAGAGGGGAGTGTGTTTTCGTAAGTCACTTCGGTACAAATAGTCACGCGTGGGCAACCTGCAATGCGGCTTGGTTTGGCGCTATCTAGCGACTGAAATAAGAAACATTGGGTATCCTGGGACTGGCGGCTGCATTGTTTAAACGTGAGTATTACTCTGGTGGCACCGCTTAGCCTATGTGTATGAAGCATGAAAGACTGGGTAGACCAGGAAGCCGCGATCGCATAACATGCCAGTACGGCGGAAGCTACGGCCCTGGCGGGCGAATCGGAAAGTGACTACATATCACCGAAGTGAGCTTTTTACTGCGAAGATGTATCGGGCTTTTCGCTGCGTCATGCTCCAATGTGTGTGCGTTGGGCTGTGTGTGCGTTGGGCTCCTTGATAAGGAAGGAGAACACCTACATCGAATGTTCAGATGCAAAAATAAATATAGCTTTTTGAATTAAAGTCCAAAAGGAATCGACTGTTTCCCGGATCAGAAATGTTTTTTTTATAGTTTATTTGAGGAACATATGTAAGTGATTTTCCTAAAGCTTCTGCCTCGCTATTTTTTTTTTGTTCTTAAATTTTGTTGCTTCTATTTTATCCTGCTTTTTATTAGTATTTTATCGGCTCGGGATAAAATCGTAATTACGTAATACTGAAAGCCTTGTTGATATCGCGTGCCTATATTTTTTGATAGCTCGACAACGAATAATCTGAGGTGCGAACATTTATAAAATCCGTAAAGGATGCTCCCTCACTCTGAACTCTATAATGATGTATGTGTCGTGGTTGAGTAAACTTATAATGATCAATACACGCACAATAAAACGCAGGAACTACGGTGCTGAGATCAAAGGCGAAATCAACATATTAAAGGTAACAGACGCTTAGAAAACTTTCTTAATGGCAGCTACAAAATAGGAACATCTCAGTAAGCCATAACAAAGCATATACTATCGTCCGCCACTATAATTTTCACTTTCACTATAATTTTCGCGAGGTACGCAAAATACCACAAAACACCAAAGGTCGCTATAACCCGGACAATTTCTGTAACCCATTTAGCCTTCCTTACGGAACCACCTGCTTTCGCCTGCATCGCCGCAAGCTGAGTATACTTGATGGAGCAAAATAAGTTTCCAAAAGCGTTCGAGCGTTTAGCATACGTTTTCGCCCTAACAGGCGCTTCCAAGATGCGGTAATGAATACGGAGCTCGTGCCCCTCGCTTCAATAATTTCCAAGCACCCCCAACACCGTCCTCCTCAGAAAATCAAACGAAAACGGAGCGCCGTACGCATATATCCTCGGGCGCAAGATGTGGCTCCAAATAAAATTAAAAAAAAAAAAATACAACGTTAAAAGAAAGAAAAAAAAAAAAGGTATAAATTGATCTTCGAGACACTGCAGTTTTGGCTTTCTATTCTGCTAAGGAAAAAGAGAAAAAAAAAGATAATAAAAACGAGAAGGAACAATAAAGGGAGGAGGAGCTAAAGCGTGGCAGCTCTTCTCCGGCGCATAAAAGCCCCCAAAAAGCCGCTCCGCCCTCGAGCCGTAATAAACGCCGACAGATTGTTCGCCCAATCTTTACCTGCCTGCATCTTTTTCCCTCGCTCTCTCTTTCTCTCTGTCGGCTAAGGCATTAAAAATGTTTTTTTTTTTTTCGGTGATGAGGAGACTGGAGGGGCGGACAGACAGATAAAAAAACTTGTAAAGAAAGAGTAAAAAAAAAAAAAAAAGAACGCGATGATCAATATTCTTTAGAAGAAAACGGGCACGCCGTGGCATCTTGCCGCTTCACGGTCTAGCTCCGCATCCCTTCTCTCATCCCTTCTTCCTTTTACGTGTGCATGAAGAAAGACGTACAAAAGGGAGGACGCGAGAAAAAGAAGAAAATGGCACGAGAGAAAAAGAAAAATGGGAAAAAAAAGTCGGTGCGGGGAATTTAATTAGGAGACTCACCCAGTGGTCGATCCACTTGTTCATGACAAAGGCAGGTCCCAGAGACCTGGCCGGGTTCATGGAAGCTCCCGTCGCCGGCAACTGCGTTCGCGCGACGGGGACGACGCAAGACGAGGAATTATTACGAGACACTGAGTACGCATTCGCGAACGATACACAGGGAGAGGCGAAACAAAGGAGAGAGCAGTCGGCGAACGAACGAAAAAAAAAAGGGGGGGAATCCGGGATGGTCTTTTTGGCTGTCTTGTGGTAGTCCGTCAACGTCTGCGGGAAACCGCGCACCGCGGAGACGACGTGTACAGCTGCCGCTTAGATGTCATATGTACGCTAAGCTAACGTACACATTTGTTTCATCCTTAATGAACTTGTAGGTTCCTTTAGCGTCCTTTATTCGAGTAAGAAATTGGGTGCCTTTTACTTTATATGAAATTTCAACGAGCGCTGCTTGTTGGAAGGCATTGTACACGTGAGGTGGACGAAGAAAGGAGAAGTCACCATGCCACGCAATGAATTCGCCGAACAAGTTCAGAAATAAAAAAGGGGGGTAGGGGGACAGGAAGAGTATATTGGTTCTGCGAATGGACTGATCTCACCATCCAGTTTGACTACGCCACCGCTGCCGCAATGCATCGAGGGAACTTTAGTCTTTCTGCACGTGCGACAACCCCGCTGGAGCTCTGCGCGAGTGGAGCACGAGACAGCACCTGCCCTCTCGTGCACGGCCGTTAGTCTTCTGTGAACTAAAGTTATGGCGGCGTCACGCATGCGCCGAACGCTTGGTGAAATCGGTCTATTCTTTTCTGGAGAACGCTGGGCAAAAACAAAAACATGTGCGGGGTACGGGCCTGGGCAGCAAAGTGTAAAGGTATTTAAATCATCGCCTATTATTTTATTTGTTATTATATGCCGTATCTGGATGAAACAGTTGTATGCCGTGTGAATCCGTGATCTCTCTTTCTCTCTCTCTCTCTCTGTCTCTGTCTCTCTGTATCTCTCTGTCTGTGTATATCTCTCCCTCTATCTCTCTCTCTATCTCTCTCTATCTGTCTGTCTGTGTGTCTCTGTGTGTGTGTGTGTGCGTGCGTGCGTGCGCGTGCGTGTGTGCGTGTGTGTGTGCGTGTGCGTGTGCATGTGGTTGTGCTTGTGCGTGTGCGTGTGTGTCAGGGGAGGCGAGCAATGAAAAGTACGACGCAAAACACAAGTCAAGCAGATCTGAGGATATATAGTTCTAGCCTTTGCCTTCCTATGAGTGCTTAAAGCGCTTTGTTCTGTCGTGGTTGCTTTTCTTTGCCTGCGTTTACTGAGATGTCCACCGGGAACAGCTTAAAGCTGACAACGGACGAGTGCTCTAGTACCAGCGTGAGGTCGTGTATCACTACTGCGCGGTGTACGTTAAAGACCCCAGGCTAGCGGTTGTACCGCACTGGCTAAATTGTTCTTTTCATCTACAGCTGAGACAAGTCGTGCGTCGAGGCAGTCTAAGTTCAGGCTGCATAAACCTACCGACACCCCAATCTTTTTTCTTCTTTTTTTGACCTAGTGCTCCGAGAGTGAGTGCGCGAAAGGAACGGCCCATACAGCGACCGGAGCATTAATGCGCTCACCCCGGCCAGCGTGCAGGCGAGGTAGGCGAAGCCGATGACGACGGCGTCCCCTCCCAGGTGGCTCCTGCTGGGATCTCGGCTGGCGAACACGGTGGAGGCAAGCAGGAAGCTGAGCACGAACTCCACGCCGAATGCCTGCCAGGCGCCTAGGGCCTCGTGGGGCCGGCTGCTGCCCAGAGAGCTCTGGTGGCCTGGCACCGTCACGCTGCAACGAGTCGGGGCATCGCCATTAGCACGTCAGCCGCCGGAGATACGAGGCACGTCACACAGACACCACTCAAGCAGAGGGAAGGATGGTAACCGCATCGGCCACACATTCAATATGTGTCAATGACCGCCGATGCTGCACGAAGAGAACATGGCGATGTTTCATTTTGCGGGGGGGGGGGGGGGGGGGGAGGGGGGAGGGGGGGGGAGGGGGGGAGGATCGGTGGTCGAGAGTGCAAACGCAACGTAGGGACGAGAGCTCGCGTTGCAGAGAAAACAAGGACCCTGGGTTTCCTCCTCGCTTCTGCCCATCTCGATCTGCATGAGCATTGTACCGGTGTGTGTTCGTGAGATAACTACCGTGTGATGCACGGTAAATAGTAAATACCCCAGACGCGCAGTGGTACTGCACTGGCTAAATTTTTCATCTACAGCAGAGACACCACACGCATAGGGGCTGTCTAATCTCCCGTTATCTGAACAGGCACACGACACAATTATTAATTTGCTTTCGGGAATTACAACGCATGATATAACTTCTTTTTATTTATTTTTTTTTTTGTGCTGCCTGTGCTGTCTGTCTTCCATGTTCCTCTTTCGTTATCGTAAATTAGAAACCAGCGCGCTCAACCATTTACATCTACATGTAGCTCCGTTCACCCTTAAATACCGACCTACACGGTCGTCTTCTGCCCGGCAGAAAACCTGCTCCAAGTTCCCCCTCTCCCTTCCCTGTCAAACACTTCTCTCCTCCTCTCCCCACTGGGGCGATTCTCTGAGCTACTCCCGGCAGAAAGGAGGAGAGTCTCCATCTTTCTGGAAGGGAAACGAGGATTTGAGGGAAAGCATTCCACTTTTCTGGCTGCTCGTCGCCCTTTGAGCAGAGACTAAAAGCTCCGCCTTCAGCGCGATCTCACTGGCTTCCGTAGTGCTTTGGTTGCGCGTGCTTGCGCGTTCACACTTCTGTAAGCATAGGCAGAGACCGCGCGCTGAAGGCGGAGCTTCTAGTATCAGCGGGTGACCGGAATATAGCGGATATACCGTGGTGTCGGAATAGAGCCTTCAGAAAACCTGAACCAACATTAACATTATGAAAGGTTCAAGAGCACGACGTCTAGGACGACCTCAAGGGCGACACCAAAGACGATGTCGTCCTTGAGCATACGATTGAGCGGAGCGTGCTTGATGACGCACTTTTATGGCCATCTTTCGGGCACAACGACGCCGCTTTTTCGCCCAATGAGACAAGTAAGGCTTTCGCCTTAAAACGTTTGAACAGGCAGCTCGCTTGTACCTTTGCATTGATTGCATTATCGTCATAAACAACCTCGTTTTAATCCTAACCCGAGTATGCGTCTATTGCGACGAAGTCAGATGGGCAACCTGAAAAACAACTAAACAGTATGACAGTATAGAAATGTTTATCGCTGAACGCGTCAGTCGAACCCTACGGCTGGAAATGACCTTCACCCAGCGAACACAATAAGGTTCGTTGGTTGAACCTTCTAGAATCGTGCACAGACCGCATGTAAACCCTGAGGTTGCCAACATGGGAAGGCACAGATCCCATTGTCAGCTTAGAACTTTATAAGCAGAGAGAATAAAAGAGAGGGAAACTCCAGATTCGCCAGCTCTTCTTGAAGCACAACATTGCCGTTCCCTCGATCGCGTCAGTAGAACGACCCTTCAGCGTTGCCGGAGATGTAGTGTCAATAAAGCGGGGAAAGATAACTAATAAAAACTTCTAGATGCATGCTACTACTGCTTAGGTGCAATGACTATACTGGAAAAAAAACAAACAAGAACAACAATCAACCATGAAATTAACGGACTTGTGTATTTGGTCGTGAAATTAACGAGAAAAGTAACTCGTAATTCTTGAGAACGCGTTCTTTTTGAGAAACGGTAACGAGCAGCGTACTTCGTTACTTTTGGAGCGAGTAACGATTAACGGTTTAGTTGCTTTTTCGGGGAACGTGTACATGTCTGCAAAATATACACGCAACATTTAATTTTGGCGAATACGCAGCCGCAGTATCACAGTAATGACGCATTCGAATAACAAATACAAGTCGCCTACAAGAAGGATAACGGGGTGCGCACAACAGAAAAATTGCTGAATACTTAACTTCGTTTCACCTTAAAAAAAAAAAAAAAAGAAAAGAAACTGAGATGAAAAAAAAAGAATAAAGGGTTTAGGTGGGACAGATATTTTTTTTTTGTATGTGATATTTTTTTTTTCGAAAATAAAGTAATTTTAGCAATATTTAACGCCGTCAGCATCATTATTGGCGAATGTTGCCCTGCTCCAGGCCCCGCCCGTAACGGAAGGTGATTAGCTAGCTAAGCACTATTTCTAGGGTCTCTGATTGGACAGACGATATACGTGTGAAATGTCCGTTGTATATTTGTTTCTCCTTGCCGTAATAGTTTGCTGACAGGTTTGTTTGTGCTAGTTGGCTATTGGACATCTGCTGCCGTAGTTGTATTCGTGTCCACAATATTGTTTTGTGTTTAAGAGATAAATATTCTAGAAAGAGTCATTTATGCATTCAAAAATGTGCCGATATTGCCTTTTCCGCTTTGGTTTCAAACGATAACTAAGCATGGCTGCTGGAGTTTGCGGTGTGCGAGTCGTTTTGCGTTCACCGAGTTGTTTTTGGAGGAAGGTCTTCGCAAACGACCTAGTTTGCAACAAACAACTGTCGGCAATACCCTCCTTCGGAAACACTGTGCGGGTGCTTGCTTTCTTAGCGGGACTGGCCTACAGGCATGGCGTCCCACGTAAACTATTTTGCTTGATCGGGCTTAATTTATTCGTTCGCGCTTGTTGATGTTGAATAAAAATGGGGGTTCTCATAACAGCGGCCCCGCTGCTTTGTGAATTGTGCAACCGTCGTGATTGCGACCATGGTTTCCTACATAGGTAAGAATTTGGTTGCCATTTGGCTGGAGGCCATCGCGCGTTCGACTTGCAACAAGTTTTTCCAGGTATGTTCTCGTCATTTCGCTTCGAAAGGCCAGTAGTTCTCAAGTTTGGCAGCGTGCCTGGCCCACCTAAATAAATATTTTTAGGTCGTGTTTTAATTTTGCGTCATGACGCTCATAACCTTGCTCGCAAAAACCATGCAAAAGAAAAAAAAAAAAAAAACAGGAAAGAGATTGCATATTTATTTTCCTTCTCTCTTTTTTTTTCAGACTCAACCTGCTTTTGCTTTGCCCTCGCCACGCCCGCCATCAGTTTAGGCATAAGATTCCTAACGTCTCCTGTTCATGTGCTCCGTTTTACCTTAGGATGGATCATAGACGAGACATACAAGTCAAGCTAATGCCGTTTGAGTGTCACGTGACACTCGAGAGGGGCGCCGTGACGCGTTGTCAATTGACACGCTAACTAAGGTGAGATAGGTCCCCCACAATCCATCGTAATTACAAACGTATAGTGTAGTGATGTTTTGATAAATTAACCGAATCATTTTGCAAACAGGCTACCCACATTTATATACTACCCTGGGAGAGTTGCGCAGCGCAGTGCAGTCAACCAGGCACAACACTCCATAAGGACCGAATGCGCCGCAGAATTCAGATTTCATAGGCAATATCAGCGACATCATTAAAAAGGTTTTTTTGTGTGTATATTGCTTCATGGTGTTTGGACGTCTCTTTTCTAATTTAAAACAATATAACGCAGCATGTTTGGATTCTGAATTATCCGTTCTCAAAGGTTCATAAAAAATTTGAAGAAAATGAAGGATGATAATACTTTTTTTTTAATTGCCGCACAAAATTTGCTTCATTTCGACTTTTTCGATGTTACAAACACTCCCAAGAGCAACGCAAAAAAGAAATACAATAGTTGAGGGCTATTTGTTTTTATTATAAGTGAACCAACCTTGCAATACTCTGCACAGAAAGTTTTATCCTCAATACTTAATTCTAATCTATGTTAAAAAAAGTCGGCCAAGTTTGTCATTTTATGTTACTTCTTATATAAACTTAAATAAACTAGACCTAACAACTTCAAGTAGTCCAGTTGGCGTCTTTTTTTATACGTAAAGATATTTACTATGCAGAACATTTTTTTTATTCCCGTGGCCCTCAAAGTTGCATCTAAGTGCAATTGGAAAAATTGAAGTTCCACCTCTTAGACGGAATTCTTTTTTTACGAAAACAAGGAACACTTTTTTTTTTTTTTGCTAAAGTAGGGTACGTTTTGTTTTATAGGCATGTTTTGCTACCTCATATAGAGCTTCAATTGAAAAGAAAAAAAAAGTAGGCACGACGCCCCTACGACCCTATTTATCTGAACACTCCCTGTAGTTATGGAACAGCTCGACTTTTATCTATACTTTAAAAAAAAAAAGTAGGCACGACGCCCCTACGACCCCATTTATCTGAACATTCCCTGTAGTTATGGAACAGCTCGACTTTTATCTATACTTTTTTATATCATTCGGTTCCCTATTAAATCTAGAAGGCATGAAGGGGAATTTTTATAATATTATTATTAAGTGGACCTTGCAAATCGTCTTCGAATGCAGAAGTGGCAAAATAGCCAATTTTGACCAAATTCCCCATTTTTTAGAAAATATGAAGAAAATTGTTGATAAACATTCGTACTCTTTAATCTACCAATAATGTGCCGATGTATTTAAAACAAAAATTTCAAGACATATGTAAAACAGGTATCGCATAAAAATTAAAAAAAAAAATGCATGCATTTTTTATTTGAGGGTACGCTCCCTCTTGTGCAAACGCAGCCGACGCTTCCACTCATGGGACCAGTCAGGGAGCGTAAAAAGAGCACCATCATGGTGTTCGTCATGTTTCTGGACGTGTTCTATCATCGCTGACCCAATCAAACAGAAAAGGCCTAGTGACTCGCTCTTTTCGACACTGCTTGATCGGTCCCATTTCCTCGTAGCGTCGGTTGCGTCTGGACTTAAGCTGGAAAGAAAGTATAGAACTTTACGAATAATGGTTCAAATCAAATGGCGC